GAAAATCAGTCAAAATTTTGGACACCTCTCCTGTTTATTTAGAAAAAATGCGTTTCTGTGTCTGATTTCTTAACTTAAAATATTTACTGCGCTAATTAATTAGCATACTTGAGGTCACGCCCTCAAACCATTAAGATTAAGTTCTAGAACATAAAGATTCGATCGTTAAATAAAAATTATTTGTTGGCCTCCTGTCTTATCGGAACTGGTCAAAAGAATTGAAAGTCTTGCAGCCTTGCAGTATTTTGTTTTTAATGTAAATTTGCAAATTTTTCTTCCTTTTGTTCTATGCTTACAACTGTAAGCCTCATGCTATACTTTGTGGTGCATGAGGAGTTTTAAGTCGTTTAAATAAAATAAAAAAATATTTAAAAAAAAAAAATTCAATCATGGCGGTCCGTAAATGGCGACACATTGTACGTCGATTTTTTTTATCGAATGACTTTTTTTTCTTCCCTTTTTGCTACTCTTATTTTGCTTCAATTGTGCAATTATTGGATGGAATTGAAATATGTATGGCTTTCCTTTTTACAATACCATTTAAAAAATTCCCTAGTACACTTTACTTTTTATAGAAATAGTTAGATGCATGGTTATAATGTTTTCACCTCAGAATTTAATTTGATTGTATCCAGAAATTTCGAATCTATTTCGAAATCTCGCTTCAAACTAAAAGTTTTCGAACTGTTCGTTTGAATGTGTCAAACTTCATTATTCATCAATTTTAAAAGAATCAGTTCTCTTCGAGGTCATACTAAAGTGGTATATTTAATTGTTATAAAAGACTACGTTCATTTAAATGCAGAAAATAATTTACGAGCAAATTAGAATGTATTTCAAATTTTAAGAGATGTTTTCTTTATATTAACATAAACGGTATTTTTTTCCCTTTGCGCTTGATTTTTAATCATTTCAGTTCAACTTCAGACTTAGTTTAATATACTTTTTGGTTTTTATTACTTTCAGTATTCCGTGTAACTGATTAAAATTATTTATTTCATCTAAACCTACCCCATATGTTTTGCTGATATAGATGCAAACTCTACTTACCGTTTTTTAAATTGCATCACATTAAAATATTCTGATAGCTGTTAATCCCATATCATGCATTTTTTGCATATTTTAAGTAGTTTCATTGAGTACACTTCATGCTAATGACAAGAAGAATTAAGCGTTTTATAAATATTATAATTTAAAATTTTTCGTTTTTTAAATATTATTGTCATAACTCGCATACGTGAAAAAAAATCATTATTCTTGAAAAAAAAAAGAAAATAAGAGTCCAAAGCCTATCGAAATTTCTTCGATTGCGTGAAAATTTAAATATGCTTATTGAAAATATGTCTTGCGTATGCATATATAATCTGTTTAGTTACTCACATTTCCCCCGATTGTTTTATTTTATTTGTAATTGTTCTATTTTTACAGAATAATTTAATTTATTCTTTCAACCTTTGTACTTTTGTCCCATTATGAAAAAGAGAAAGCGAATATAATTAAATTTTCAAATATTTTCGTGAACTCAACTTCTTAATTAATTTCTAACACTAGTTCTATTTATGGCAACAGCAACATTTTCTTGTTGCCTTGATAGAATTCTTCTAATAAGATTAGTTTTAACTAATCTTGCTGGTATTAATTAATTAGATTTGCTTGTGAGGAAATTTAGCAGTTTCTCTAGGGAGTGCTTTATTTAATAATCATAATTAATCTTTTGTACAGTAATAAAAATATAAATTTAAAAGCCCAATTCCTCGAGAAAAGGACAATTTAATTGGAGAAGATGTCTTACTGGTGATTAAGAACATTTCAGATTTATGATTAAAAAAAAACAATATTGGGAATGCATTAAATTATGATACATTGTATTTGAAACTTTTCCTGAACATCCATCATTTCAAATATTTTTTTAATACGAAAATTAATGACACATTTTTATTATATATATATATTTTTATGATGTAAAGTAACCTATTATATCTCATTGGCCATATGCAACTAATTTCGTATTACAGAAGGAAAAAAAAATTTTAAAAATTATAAAACAATAAAATACTCATATTGAAACATGTATTGTTCAAAGGCACTATGGTAAAATGGAACTTTGGCCAACTTGCTATGCTTTGGATGCCCAAGATCACGCCATTTTTATCTGCCCACTTTACCAAGATATCAGGAATAGGAAATATACCCAAGAAATCATTTTTTACTGATCTGATACATTCCAATTCAGGATTGTGTTCATTAAAATTATCAAAAGAATTTACATCTTTAGAATTTAAACAAATCAGAGAGAACAACAAAATGATGAATTGAGACTGCAAACCCGGCTCAAGAGACTCTTCGGATATTCGGACAACTTGACTTTGACATTGATTCCTTTTTGATCATTGGGTGTCTTTTTTTAATTTTTTAACCTAAGTTATTTGCTATTTTAATTTTTCTTTCACATTTGCAGTTATTATTATTATTATTCACTTATTTACCTTTTTTTTCGATTTATGCAGATTTGCTTCCTTGATTGTTTTAAATAAAAAAAAATGATTTGTACTCAGCTCTCGCGGTATGCTTCTTGATGCAGGCCAGCAAGATACATCTCCATATGAAATAAGATGTAACTAAATCAAAAGTAAAATAAATTTAGTCCTTCTCTGTCACCTACATCTGCTCTGTATTATTATTATTGATTACTTATTGACTGAACACATGTCTTATTTATCCAGCTAAGAACATTTTGATTGATATTTTTAGTAGTGTAATTTTTCAAAATTCAAGTTGCAAACACACGTACAAGGAACTATCTGGTATATCATTGCAGATTCAGAGATCGACAATCATGCCCGACCTTAAGACTGAATTAACACCGCAATAGGAGACAAATAGAATCATTCCACGTCTTAATTTTTTTTTTAAAAAATTATATAAAATAATCATTTTTACTAGTAGCATTTTGCACTTTTTTCTGCATAACTATTATTTTTGACATTGCACGAGGGCGATCATATTGCGTTTAATTATTTTACATCGATCTCTTGGAAACTTTAGAGCTTGTTGAACCGTATAGTTTAAATTTCCTGCAACCTTAGGGGGATAAAACACAATAAAATTTTTAAACACTGATAAACTATATAATTAGTTATTAATTGGCCTTTAGGAAAATTTGCCACAGAGAAGCCTATGGTAGTCTATGGCAACCTATGGCTACCATAGAAATTTGTATGGCAATATACCATACGCCTATGGTTACCATAGAGATTTGTATGGCAAAACCCCAAAAGCTTATGGCTGCTGTTACCAAAAATGCTTTTAACAATTTAATATTTCCTTAAGTTTACAACTTTCTCGTCATAGTGATGTCCTATACCCAATTAATTTTTATTTACTATCCCTGACCAATTGTCAATAGCAATTATTAATTTTACCAATTTTAATCATGTCTTAAACATGTTTTGTATTTTCCAATGTTTCTATACTGCGTTCTCTTTTCTAACTGTGCTTTCTGGATAGATATTTATTCTACAATTATTAAGTTTTACATTTTTAATATCCATTGGGAAAGATTCTTGTAAGTAATTATTTTTTAATGTATGGTAAAATATCAACGAGAAATATTGCCATATGCTGCATGGTAAAGGTGTACCATAGCCTATGAAAAAATATTTCTTCATAAACTGTAGCACATCTTAGTTTTATGGCAAAAATTTGCCTTATAAAAACTGCCATAAGATATTCTTATGGGGTTTTGGATATGGAAAATTTTGCCATATACTTTTGTCATATACGTATACCATTCATGTATGGCAACAATTTGCCATATAAAAAAATGCCATAGGATATTCCTATGAGGTTTTGCCTATGGCAAAATTTTGCCATANTTTGCTTCCTTGATTGTTTTAAATAAAAAAAATGATTTGTACTCAGCTCTCGCGGTATGCTTCTTGATGCAGGCCAGCAAGATACATCTCCATATGAAATAAGATGTAACTAAATCAAAAGTAAAATAAATTTAGTCCTTCTCTGTCACCTACATCTGCTCTGTATTATTATTATTGATTACTTATTGACTGAACACATGTCTTATTTATCCAGCTAAGAACATTTTGATTGATATTTTTAGTAGTGTAATTTTTCAAAATTCAAGTTGCAAACACACGTACAAGGAACTATCTGGTATATCATTGCAGGTTCAGAGATCATGCCCGGCCTTAAAACTGAATTAATGCCGCAATAGGAGACAAACAGAATCATTCAACGTCTCATTTTTTTTCTTAAATTATATAAAATAATAATTTTTTTAGTAGCATTTTGTACTTTTTTTGCATAACTATTATTTTTGACATTGCACGAGGGCGTTCATATTGCGTTCAATAATTTTACATCGATCTCTTGGAAACTTTAGAGCTTGTTGAACCGTATAGCTTAAATTTCCTGCAACCTTAAGGGGAAACAACACAATAAAATTTTTAAACACTGATAAAATATATAATTAGTTATTAATTGGCTTATACTTTTAAGATTAATGTACCAAAATGTTGATTTTTATAAAAATGGAAAAGTTGCAGCATACAGAGTCTAGTGCGACACAGGACATGCCGTCAAAAATATAAACAAGTGAGTTGATATTTGCTCACTCCTATCTATCACGCTACATCCGGTTGTATTTGTTCACAGTTTAATAAAATACTATCATTAAAATTTTTTTATTCAAATAAATTGTTGAAATTTTGAAAGAAAAAAAAATAATGGTATTTTCAATAAAAATGACTGCAATTGCAATTTATTTAGAGGTAATAATTTTAAATGAAGTTTGAAAAATGTTATTGATAGTTTTAGAACAATTAGAAATAGTTATCTCAGCAGCCGAAGCATATGCTCAAAATGAGGGAGATCGTATAATTGCGACTGCTACTCTAAACCGCATAAGGTCTTCACATGAGAGTATAACAACAATTTATTCAAATTATTTTCTAATGATTTGGTACTTAACTCATTTGTTACAGGGACATAGAATATTTTATCACAAGGTCGTTATTGAATCGCAGAAACAAGATAAAGAGCTATTGTTTGTACAGTGTGTTATTCCTGGTGACTTTAATATGGAATTTGTCAGACAAGACTGGTTACGAGAAAGTGTGCCATACAATTTTACAGCTCCAACGTAAGTATTTTATTTAAGTATACAAAAACCCTAAGTTAATTGATTAATCCCTTCTGTGTGAGATTTTTTTTTTTTTTGAATTTTGAACCGGAAAAAAAATATTTTTATTGCTGAAAAATAACATATGTTCCATCCTAAACACGAAAATGTAATATATTTGAGTCGGCGAGCAGTTTTTTGCTTAACCTATCAGTGGTGAAATTTGTGATATCTCACCTACTGATCTCCAGTTCTCACTGCAATGCACCCAAGTTTCATCTTAGAAATCCGCACTATCCATCCATCCGCATGTCGTTATTTTCACCTGAACCAGAGCATGATCAATCTCCGATCCGGTACACACAGACGTATTGATTTGTTACGGAAACTTGAGGGCTTTTCGTCCTCCACAGATTTAGCGTACACCAATCACCATTTTGCACTTGAGGAGTTTTCGGCCGGTGGAGATTAAACTCACTACCGCTTGGACATGGGTCCTACGCTCTACCAACCAAGCTATCCCGGCTCAACAGTGAAAATTGTCCTGTGTGATTCCCTTATATCAGTGTTTCCCAAAGTGTAGTACGCGTACCCCCAGGGGTACGGGAACAGTTTAGCTTATGCAAAATATCTTGCTATAAACGAAAATTTCAATTTTTTTAAAAAAAAGCTAAGCTAGAAATGAAAATCTACGATTACGTATTTTTTAATTGGCTAATTTTTGCAGAGTTAACAGTTAATAATTAGTTGTTTCAACAGGCAGTTGTGATTTTTAACTTTAGTGTAACTTTTTTATAGTAAAAATTACATTCATTTTTTTATTAGTGGTGCACAGCGTTACGAAAAATTTAGAAGGGATACACAAAAGTCAAAAGTTTGGGAAACACTGCCTTATATTATCCACATTAAAGAACTTTTGTTCTATTCTATTAGTGATTATATATTTCTGTGAGAGATGTTTTAGCAGGCAAAATAGACTGAAGACAGTTTAAAGAAACTCTTTGGACACTGAGAAATTTTATAATTTGCTCAGAATTTCTATAAATATACCTTCCGTTCCAACTGTTGCTTGGCTAAAAATTGACAAATGGTGTCGATAGGCAGCGGTATTCAAATGTGAAATAATGAATATATCTAAACATAACATTTCTGATCTGTTAATTTTCAGATTTTTTTTCTATTTAATGACCTTTAATGATATGTGGATAATAATCGAAACATTGACGTTTTTTTTCGCAATAAATATTATTCAGTTTTTCATTTTCAGCATTATTTTATGGTTTTGGTAACAAAAAAGTTCCTTTTAATATATCTGTTTTCGTGAATGTAGTGATGAGCAAAATTTTTAGTTCATTTAGTACTTCAGAACTGAAATTTCATCCTCTGCTCTTATGAAAAAAGAGTGACCAAAAAGAAAGGGTGAAGCAGACATGCAAGAGGAATAAAAAAATCCCAAAGAAGTATGCAATATTCAAAGCCGCTAGAGGAAGGATTTAAAATTATACCTGATATATAAGAAAAAATCAATAGAATAATTTGAAAATTTTAAAACAACTTTTGCACGTACCTGCTCTAAAAAGTAAGAAATAAAATATTAGGGGTAACTCTATAAGAAACGAATTGATATGGCAAGTTAAATTATTGATAGCTAATTGATAGTCAATAGTTAATTAATAAAAGTTACTTGTTTAAGTATAATTTGATAAATGATAATCTTTGCTCATGTGAACAGGACATTGAAGCTGTTGAACATATTATTTTTATTGTAAGCTATACTCAAGCCAAAGAGAAAGTTTTAAAAAGCAGTTGAGACTTTCAGGTATTTATTGGTCACCTGCTTTATCCTCGTTAGTTATGTGCACTGAATACCTTATTTTGCAAAATTTTCTATACAGCTTAAAATTTTCATTCTTATTTTGTTTCGTTGCAATTTTTATTTTCATTTGTACTTTGCCCACTTACTTTTGTAAGCTTTATGTTATACATTGTGGAGCATGAAAAATTGTTTTACAAAACGTAATTACAAAATAAATAAAAAAATAGTTAATTAGTTGAGCTAGTTAGTTCAGTACAGGTTAAGTTAGTTGATATTTAATTTTCCAGATAATATGCTTATTTTAAATCAAGTTTATCTTGAAATGTGTTGAAAAATTTCGTACAGAATTCTTTGAAAAAAGCAAATGAAAAGTCAGTGGATTTCAAATAGCAATACTAGCATCAAATGAATGCCGCCATTTCATTGAAAACTTCATAAAAATTATTGCATATTGACCAAGTCAAACACAGTTTAGGCTACAATATTCTATGGTCCCATAGATCTGACAAAAAAAATCTTCTATCTCTTTCAGAACTACACCCGTTGAGGTTTACAATGATATAGTTCCTTATGTCAATATGGCTGTAAGAAATAGAGGTCAAAGGATTGACACAAGCGCAGTGGTTCATCCTGGATCGTTATTGGATTTGCTCATTTATTTAGACAAAGAATCAACGGGTAAATATAATTATTAAAAATTACAGTTTCGGGAAATATGTCACATACATGAGTCAAAATTTTAAAGTTACATACAATTTTTAAAATTAGATTTTTTTTCATCCATTAATAGAAAAAATAAATTACTTAGTTTTATTAATTGTTTAAAATGATTTATATTTGCCTTTTATTTTTATTTTTTTGAGTTCAAACATTAGATTTTTTTAACTGTCTGAAAAACTAAAAATGAAAGTTTTCATTCATTTCGTAATGCTGTTTTCTCTAGTGTGTGTATATAATTTCTAGTTAAGTAACAGCCATTTTGTCTTACAATAGCTCACTATGATATTTCACTGCGGTATTTGACACTAGCAGATCCTACACGTAGTATAGAAGAAATAGTTGTTATGAACGGGTAAGTATTAGAGTAATACTTACAATAATAATCATTATAATAATAATAATAATGACATCTTCACTATTATTAGACTTCACTTATATATAAAACTATGCTTTCTAATTGCATTTCATTTGTTCTTCTAAAATAAGTGTATTAAGTATCCAAATAGACTAAAGTCTTATTTTTGGTTATGGAAAGTTTTGATACTTTGTATTTTAAATTTAAATCTATATTTGAAATTATAATTTTATTTCAGATACAAATAATATGCAATGTTGACTACTTTAAGTCACAGTTATATAAAAACGAAATCGTGGCTATATAAAATCATAATTATGATGCTATCGAAAACAACCATGGTTTCATATAATTGCGATTAAAATCAAAATTTAAGACGTTTTTTTTACATTTAAATTAAAATTAATAAATGTGAATAATTAAAGTCATAATTATAACAATTTTATTTCTTGTAATCGGAAAATTTTTACGTTAAAATTAGCGCAGTAATGCCGCATTTTGTGCCAGAAAAAATTCACAATTAATCCTATTCAGGAATGAATTTTCTCTTTTGGTCTGCATTTATTTTACTGTTGCAATAATTCCATAATCTAACACATTTGTTTTCGGAATATACCTATAATTTGTGAAAACGCCATTGATTTGATTTAAAACTGTTTCCGCATAAAGGCATTCCTTCATTAGTTCCGGTTTATTTCAACGACTAGGGAACTACTTTGAAGATTAACTTCGGGAAATTCCTTTCCGTTAATAGAATAATACTACGATAAAAATTTAAATGAAAACTAATGAATTTCTACTCTGCTAGTTGAGGTTCATAAAATGATTTTTAGTTGCTTCTACCATATTATCAAGTACAAATTTTAAAAACGTAGTTTTTATTTTCATGCACTTCTATATTTTAATATCAGACTCATGTAATTATTAGTACATGCGATTTTGAAATTAAATAGCAAAAAGAAAAAAAATTATCAAAACTACCGTTTTGATTGAAGACAATATCCTATAGAAGACTTAAGTAAACGCTTATTATATACATTCATATGTTTGTGTTACTAAAACTTATTATAATTATGTTAACTATTACCTTCATACATTCAGTAAATTCAAACACCTAGATGAGGAATATAAATGGTTGATTATGTCTGGTGCGAACAATCTGAGTTCGACCACAAACACGTGAGTTGAGTAGTAGTTTAGCTGGTTGGGCATAACTCGATGTTGTGATTGATTAGTATGGACAGAGACCTGAGCACGTTTGTTCCTTCCATTTGCAATTTAGATTTTAAAAGCAATCACTATTCAGATTACCATGGTAGGCCGTCTGCTTGAATAGGCTTGTCAAGAGCGTAGACATAGTCAACTGCGGACATAGTTAATGATTTTAATTTTTATTTTATTACTGCTTATGAAATGAGTTTTTTAAAAAATAAGTTATTCTATTTATGTGTTTATTTTTCATGTTATTTATGATTTATAAGCTGGAAAAAATATTAAAAAATAAAATATGACTAAAGAGATGTGTAATAATTAATAATTGTGTGATTTTAAGTTTATTTTTATATACTATAGGAGTATCTCGAAACTAATAAGCGAAAATAAAAATATAGTTTTTTTTTGCGGAAAAATTATTAGATTTTAATAAGCTCATTGTGAAACTGTATGACATGAAACTGTAAAGAAAAATTGATTTAATTTAATTTTTTGCTTAAAATTATGTAATAAAAAATGTAGTTTAAACCAATGTTTATTAAATCATTCTTCACATTTAATGTATTTGAAAGAATTTTACTAGCTTTTAATGTTACATTTAGTATCACTTTTAGTGCAATAAACAAACATATACAGATTATATATTTCAAATGCATTGTTTGTTTAAAATTAAAATTGGGTCACAAAAGTACAAATTAAAATATTTATTAAAATTTATAGTTGATTATATTTTTTTGTAATTTATGAGAACCATCTTATTTTTTTAAAAAAAATCGAAAAGGATGATTCAATAGAATTTCAAAATAAATTTGAAATCAGTTTATCTATCAGTTTAACAAATAATAATGGCAATTCTTTAATGAAAGTATGTTGTTCTAGGTGTTCAGTGGATCCATTTGTATTGGATGTATTTCCACCAACAGCCGGTGTTCTGAGATCACAATTTCGTGCCTTCAAGTTTCAGAGCTCAGATTTTGTCATTTTTCTTGCAACAGTCAGTGTCTGTTTGCAGCAATGTATGGAGGTAGGAATATTTATTTTTAACTCTTATATGACACTCAATGCATCCTATGCAGTGCATTTCAGCTGCCTACCTCTTTGGAAGAGGTTTAGATTTTCAAGCGACTATTAATTTTCAGTCACGATCTTGTAACTGCTGAAAATCTAGTGTATATTGCATCCCCCATTTAATACGATATTAATATTTTAGCTAGGTACACGTTATGTACTTTTCTACAAAAGTACCAAAAAACAACTTTCAAATTCCTCTTTTGGAATGCACTTTAATTCTGTTGTTGTACCTTTAGCATTTGCGTTTTTGGAAGCAAATACTGTGCAAATTATTTGGAAGATGAGTTCTCGAAAGTTCAAAATCAAATGCCTTGTTAAAGGATTAAGGTTTAAGTACGTTGAAGTCTTTGAGAATCACCTAATTCACAATTCGAGGTCTTTTTGAACTAAAGACTTTGAAAGTTATTTATGACACTTTAGCATTCATGTATAAATGTAGTATGCGCAACGAATTCACCACCATGGATAACTTTTGTTGTATTGAGTGAATTTTCATGTATTAGGACTCAATCTTGATGATTCGGAAGGATGACCTCAAATATACTAATTAATTGGTGCAGATGATATTTTTAAATACGAAATCAGACGTAAAAGCGTACTTGCAATCGGATTTCTATCCCCATGATATAGGGGGGGGATGAAATTTGAGAAATATGTCCACAATAGTTATACTTTAATCATGTTTTAAGTAACTGCCCTTTTTTAAAAAAAAATAATTGATTTCACTGTTAATATTCGATGGATTTCGTTCAAGCCTTTTTTTTGTCATTTAAAATTATGCAAGAAATCGTATTGAAACCTTACAATTTAAAATTTATTCGACTATTGTTAAAAAAACAAATGAAAATATTAAATAATTATACTAAAAAATATTTTTGCATGGAATTATCTTTGGATAAACGTTGTGTTTAAAAAATTTAAATTCGCATAAAAAGTTCTAAAGCTATGGAGAATTACGTAAAAATAAAAATTAACTTTAAGATGTCCAAACTTTGGACAGTTCTCCTGATCAATATTGAAACCATATTTCCCAGATTGCGGCTACTTCTTCTACTTTGGGAGACAGAAATTCGGATACATTAAATAAAGGGCGTGCTTATTCAAAGAAAGTACGTTTTTGTGTCTGATTTCTTAACTTGAATTATCGGCTGCACTAATTAAATAGCATATTTGAGGTCACCCCTCAAGCCTTTAAGATTGAGTTATAATTATCTATTTAAGTTAATTCATTAACAGAATCAATTTTAAGGATTATTTGCAATGACAGGTTTATAAAAACTCTTAAAATTTCTTAACGATATTATGAGAAAATCCGAGCAATAGTTTAAAAAAAATTTCAAAGTGTTTTTTTCTGAAATCTACATATAAAATATGAAGATTAGATTAAAATTGATTAAATAGGCTATTAATTCACATAATATTTTCCTATTTTATTATAAGATAGTTCTGAAAATTGATAGCCACCTCTTTTATCGTGAAAGCATACAATATTCGATATAAGTTAGCCGTAAAAACTTTTATTAGTTAATATCTTTTCATTAGCTTACTTATTAGCGGAAATTATTTTTAAATTTTAAGAAAATAGTTCAATTAATCAATAGTTCAAATTAAGAAAATAGAAAAAGAATTTAATTTTCGAAATATAGATTTATGAAAAAGATATAAACAGAAAAATTAATTGTGAATGCATGAAAGGGCAACGATAGACATTTAAAAAAATTAATTTCCATTAAGAAATTTTAACAGTTACTATAAACCTCTCATTGCAAATAACCCTTAAAATCGATTTCTTTTATGAATTAATTTAAAGACACAATAAATGTAATAATTCCCAAAGGTGCTCTTAATGATAAAATGATAATGGCTCACATAAAGCTGTCAGAAATTCAAAAAGGAAGTCATTTAACTAATGAATGCAGTTTGCGGAAAAAAAACCTCTTTAGTGACTTGATTTGTATTTTCAATCCTTTTGTGAAAATTTACTTTTATTATCAGCTTTTTTGATTCGGAATAGGAAACTGTCAAACCATTATCGTCATTGGTTGCATTGTGTTCTAAGATTAATATTATCTGTGTTCAATTCTGTGGACTGTCTCAAAAGTTTCTTTATGTAAAGCCACATTAGCATGAAAGGGAATTTGCGGTCCTTGAATAAAGCTTTACACATTTTCCAGAAAAATTTAGAAATTACTGATAAAGAAGTATTTTAAAGGAGTAAAAAAAAACTCTCAAGATGCTCCATTTCATCAATAGTCACCTCATTCACTTGATGACAAAGTAATGTTAGTTTCATAAGTCAAGGAATTAAGAGAAAAGATTTCCCTTTTAAAGCTTTTTGATTCTATATTTTTTTCTTATTCTCATAAATGAGAGGCGAATAAATTGCATTGGTAATAAATAATTTTTCGTTTTAGCTTAATTGTCTCTCCAAATCAATTTGTGCTTTTTAGTGATGTTATGATTAGTGTCTTGTTCGCATCGATTTTTGAATTCTGTTCAAATCAACGTTAAATTCGAATGTGTTACACCTGAATAAATTGCAAAACCCATACGTAGCTTTTAAAAATTGCAATAACAAAATACAGTAAAAATGAACAATACAGTAATTTATAAGTTATAAAATTCATCGTACATTAAAACTTGTTTTAGAACATACCTTTAAAAAATTAGAAAACACTTTTCAAGAGGTTCGTTTAGTTAACACCATAAAACAAATCTTGTATAACGTAGAACTATTGTATTGATATATTTTGCTTTGGCTATATTGATGCAATATTAGAAAGCACTCTTTTTTGCGGATATAATAGAGTGAGCTGATAAAAAGATTATTTTCTGGATTTTTATTAATTTTTCTTCCATTTTTTAGGATTTTCTTTTTTCTTTTTCCCTTTTTTCATTGTTCTGTAATTTTTTTCATGTTTTCTCTACATTTTGAACTTATTTTATGAGTTCTATTTACTTGTAGTTTTTGCGCAATAAATATAACTTATTGTTCTTCTTAATTTTCTTCGTGTTTTTTTTTGTCATTTTTGTATTTATTTACTTATTATGATATATATAT